CGGCTGGGGAGGAGCAGAGGAAGGGAAAGACGTTCCACTTAATGCACGTGTTTTTCTCCTAAGCTGGAAAACGGCCCCCTGCTTTCAGAAGGTCTTGGCAGCAGTGTATGGAGGGTTCAAGGCTTGCCGTGGCTGGGGAGTGCTAGTGGCTCAGCTCCTAATATTTGCAGCAAACGACAGAATAGGCCCAGTTTGCAGTCGAGGCAGTTAGTGCAGCAGATGGCAAATAGTCCTGCTTCACTGGGGCCCGAGATGGGCACCATCTTCTCACTTTAGCCAGGGCAGCCTCATTCCTGCTCTGCCAGAGTACCGAAAGCATTTCTGGTTTTTTAGAAACTTCTTTTTTAGGCAAAGATGGAAGAAGGCAGAGCAAACAAAATATGGGAAACTCAATCTAGTTAAAAACATTTCCCTGTCAAACAACCTAAAATAGAACTTTTCCTTTGTTAGTTAGGAATAATTTAGAATAGAAATCTACATTTCTCCATAGAGCATTGAGTGCAAAAATAAAAAATGGATTATAAATAGAAATAGGCATGACCCATTCCGCTTCCAAGGACTTGAGCATACAGCATTCAGAATACTGAATTAGAGCATTTTATAGCTATGAGACCTAGACATTACATTGTCCAATCCATAGGGTTCACAGTAGTTGAGAACTGAGGCCGGAAGAAGGTGATCACTTGGGCACATTCACACAGTAATTCATAGACCTGCTTTCTCCACGCTCTGATCACATTGCTCTCACCTGCACTTGTACAATCCCTCCCAGACAACAGCCACACCACCTGTCCATCCCCTTACAGTACAGGTAACCTTGGAGACTATGACATTGGCGGCCTATAAAAGGGAGTTAGTTGTATGTGACAGGTAGACAGAAGAGGTAAACCTGTGTGTTGTCTACACTCCATTATTTTAGTGAGAAAGGAACAAAGAGCTAAGTCAGGAGGAAGTCTTCCAGAGCCTCTGTGTTCTGTAAAGAAGACTCAGTAGACAAGGGTGCCCAGAGAGCGGCACACAGGAGGGGAAGGCCTGCCAGCAAGGGAGGAGGCCAGGTACCCGACCCACCTGGAATTTTCCATCGCTTATCCTGACACGTGGATCATAGAAAAGCTATTTTCTTGCCAAAAACTACGCTTCAGAAGAACCCAAAATTAATTGGTTTGATTACTAAGAGAGGTGATGGTTGGGGGTCAGATTTCCTAGCCGAATTGCCCTCGGGCTCCTTGGGGAACTAGGATTGCCCCTCAAGCTTGAGCTCTGTGTTCTGGTCACATTTCAGCCTGGGCACAGGGTAGTGCCTGGCTGCTCTCCCAGCATCCTGTGGTCTTAGACCTGCTCACTCTATGCTCACAGGAGGCCTAGCCAAAAGCCGTGTCCTGTTACCAGAGTCTGGGCTTCCCCTCCACCTTATAGCTGAGGCCAGTAACCCATCTCGGTAGCAGTGATGTCTGTTCATCTTTCATGGGGTTGTCAAGTGGGGGAGGAACAAATTACATTTTCCAGCAATTTAATTAACTCTGATTTTTTTACCCCCTCTTCTTCCAAAGCACAGCTAAATGGAGCTAAACATACACACAAGGGCTATATTTAGTCCTGATGGCGCCGCAGCGTAGGGAAGGCACAAACAGAGGTTTATCTGCTACCTAGTAAACACAGGGAAGTGTCAGGGCTGGAGGATTCAATAGTAATAATAAGCATTTATATGGTGCAATGACAACTTCGATACAGGGCATAATTTTCTGGGGATTGCTATTAATTGTGCTTCTGCCTGTGAACGGCCCCCTGGTGAGGGGCTTTGAACACCACGCACAGTTAAGCTATATTAAACATCAATTAAAACAGTGTAAAACAGAGTCAAAATAAAATATGCAAAGGTCAGAGTGGCTGTAAAAATGCAGGAGGGGGAGGGGAGAAAGGGGTTAGGGCCCGGGGAGCCTCATACACTAGTAGGTTCATGCTGCTAGCCGCGCTAAGCTTTCGAGTTTTCAGGTGTAGTAGGTTTGCTGGAGAGTGAATAATGGTACCTTCTGGCTTCCCCGAGTTCAGTTCTTCCCCAGAAAGGTGTCAGAACCTACTCACTGCAGCCAGTAAGAAATGAGAGGAGACAGCCAGGCAGTCTCCCAGCACTGTCCAGTAGAACTTTCTGTGAGTTTAGAACAGGTGCTTTCTGTCAGGTGTTACAGCCACTAGCCACTTCTGGGTATTGTATACTTGTGATGTAGTTATTGCAACTGAGGCACAGGATCTTTAGTGAAATTTAAATAGCCACATGTGGTTAGAGGCTGCCCATATTGGACAATGCAAGACTTTAGGCCATTTTTGCCCATACTCTCATACACTCAGGAAATGTTCAATTTGCACTCATCTTCCTGACCAATTTGTACCTTCTACACCTCTCACTGTTTGTATCCATTTTCCTTTTCTTTTTTTTTTTTTTTTTTTGACCCAGTCCTCCCATGCTTTTGACTTCAACTTCCAAATTCTCTCCTAAGGGTCACACACAATGCCAAGAAATGTGACAGGAAAACATCACCTGCATTAAACTAGACACCGTGGCCTTGGCCTTGCCCACTTTTCTGTTTGACAGCCCAGAGTCAAGCTCATATCAGACGTTTCCCACTGTCCCAGGCAAAGAAGAGGGGAGTGGCTTTGGATCTCTGGCTAGAGATCAAATCTATGGCACTGTCACCATCCCCCACTGACCATCTGATGCAGTTGCTGAATCTGACTCTTGAGTTTCCCAGAACCTGAAGGGATTGCAGAATCCCCACATCATCGAGGGAACACCACCTGAGGTCCCTGTGGCACCTGAACTGTGAAAATACCATTTCCCATAGCTCTTTCAACACTTGTTGAATGCTTAGAACGTGCCCACTCATTGCAATAGTGGAACAGAGCACTAGACTTATAATAAAAAATCCCAGGTTTAAGTCCCAGCTCCTCCATTTACTAAATCTGTGACCTTGACAAGAGCCACTATACCTCTCTGAGACTTTATCTTCCCCAATAAAAAAGACTCTGCTGGAGTGAGTGACCTGTAGGTGCTGGGAGGACCCAGAAGAAGAGGCCCCATTGCCGTGAAGCCCTCCACCTCCACTCCGTTACCCCTTCGGGTGTTGAGCCTACAGTTAAAGCACCCTTTTCCTGAGGCCACCAAGAGAGGCCTTCCCTGTGTCTGGTTACCACTGACTCACACTGGGAGGCTGTCCAGCAGGACAGACGCGCCCTGAGCCAGGCTGGGCGGCGTTCCCGCCCACCAGCCCCGAGCCCAGTTGTTGTCGTACCCCTGTGCAGTTTAGGAGGTCAACGGCCGTCCCCGTGACTATGGGTTCACCTCAGAGACGGTGTTTTAGCCTGCTGCAGAGGCGGCAGTAGTTTCTTGGCTTAAGCAGTAGGTCCACCAAAAAAAAAAAGAGGTTTGGGAGTTGCCTGATGTGTGCCGACCACCCTGGCCAGCTAGCTCGCCAGCCCCTTCCGCCCAGCAGTCACTAGTCACTGCTCCCGGGATTGTCCCCGGCCACCCAGAGCCCCTGTGGAGCTGCCAACACTGCATAGCTCACAAAGGGCCCTGTAGCATCTCTAATTGAGGAGCTGGTGAGCGGACGCCCTCAGTAGAGGTATTTTTAGCTGCAGTGATACAGCCTCATCTTTTTTCAGGATGTTTTGTTTAGGTTTTCTTCTTCTTTTTTTTTCAATAAGTAGATTTGAAGATGTGGTCCCAATCCCCGGTGCCAACACCCAAGAAGTTTTGGTGCACGCCCCTCACCATAGGCCTCATGACTCCTGTCTACGGTCAGGTGCTAGGGCTCAGAGTTTGCCCCGAATACCAGGCCAATGAGCCCGAGTGCACAGAGAGAAGAGCTAGAATACAGGAGGCGAATGCAGGCTGGCCTGGGGCTGAGGGCCCCTGGGCAGCTGAAACAGCTCTCCTCCCACCTTTGGTGGGTCTGGGGGACTGAGTGAGTGGGCCTCTCAGTTACGGCAGCCTTGCCCTGAGCAAGCAGTTCCGCTCTGTGGCAAGCTGGCTGCCAAATGCTTTTGTTTTCCTTTCCTTCTTCATCCTGGTCTGTGACTTGTCACCGTTTCCTTGACTTTATTTATTTATTTTTATTTGTATACCATGTGATGGGGGTTATAGGACTTTGGTGGAGCTTGAGTCACACCCCATGGATGGGTCCTGGGGAGGTGGGCAAGGGTAAGTTTCCCAGGTATATTAGGTGATACCATGGAATCATTTTGTTAATTGTATTAGGTGTGATAGTGGCACTGTAGTTATGTAAGAAATGGCCATGTATTTTGGGGAGATGGACTGCTGAAGTATGGAAGGGCGAAATGACATCATGTCTCGAAGATCCTTTAAAATATTTCAGCAGAGAAAAGGAGGGGATAGCTGAACCGAATATGACAAGTTCAATAACTGTTGAACCAGGGTGGCTGGTATATGGGAGTTCATGACAACTCTCTATTTTCAGTGTTTCAGATTTTTCAAATCAAAGGCTTTTTTTAATAATGAAAAAAATGTTTAATTAAAAAGCTCTCCAGGTAATTCTGATGTTCATTTCAGGCTGAGAACCAGTGGTTTAAGCAATTAAATTTGGATCACTGCACCCTAGATCAGCTCTGACTTTGGATAACCTAAGACTGACCTTTCAGGATGAGTTCCCACCAGTAGTCTGAACCCCAGGTTCATGGCTAGGTGCAGAGCAGGGTGGGACAAAGGACAAGCCAGAGTTCACAGTGGACAGCTGCCTTCTGTGTCTCTTGTGCCGAAGGACCTCAGTGTCTCCCACGTGGCATGCCTGCCAGCACTCCCACACTCCACCCTGGGGCCCTCACTCGCACACGGGAGACAGCAGACGGCTGCGTCATGGCACACACCCCAGGAGAGTCCGGCTCTCCTCGGCGTTCAGCACTGTAACCTAGTGGGATTTTGCTGAAGCTGGGGCGGGCGGGGACGGGGGGTGGAGTCTGAAACCTGCCCCTCCCCCTGCTCCCAGGAATCCCCGTGTTCTCAGCCCTGCATGCGAGTCCGTGATGACTCTTGTGTCCTGGTGCCTATGCTGACTCCCAAGCTGAATGTTGCGCTGGCTGCTCGGCAGGTGGGGCGAATAGCAGCTGACTGCAGCCAAGCTAAATGGAGCTCCAGAGCTCGAACTAGAAGCTTCCATGTGACATTTACACAGCACAGCCTTGCTGAGGATTCTGGCTCAGCACCTCTCTGTTCAGGGGCAGCCTTCACTGGAGGGGGGCCTTGTGATTTACACCTAAATACTCAGCCAGTCTGTGTGTCGCTAAGGGAAGCTGAAGCAGAGGGAAGGCTACAGACTGCCAAGGTCACACAGCCCAGAACTTCGCTACCACTCATATTTACTGAGAGCCTGGGCACCCTCCTTTTGCTCCCGAGGGAAGCCTTGACATAGTCCTTTCAGCAAATGCCAGCTTGAGAGAGGTGCAGAAGTCACCTCCTGCGTCTCTGTAGGAGGGCCTGGAGCATCTATTTTCCCTCTGAGGTCTGAGTCACTACTTGTCCTGCCGGTGACCAGTGCTCCATCCCAAATTCCAGCGCGGGGAGCTCCTCCCTCATCCAGACCAGACCAGCAGGCAGGCTCCAAGGCACTGTTTGGGTGGGAGAAGGCGGCTGCTCTCCCTGACTCTGTGCTGCTCCCTACACACAGGTCCCCGGTCTCCACCTGCAGATCATTCATCGTAATTGTCTCCTCCGTTGTCCTGAGCTCCTCAAGGGCACGGCCCAAGTCTTTCATCTCCACTGTTCCCTGTCACCTGGCACGCTGCTGGCCGCTGGACTGACTCTAAGTGAACCACAGAAGGGCTTCAGCAGTCAGCGCCTGTCGGCCAAGGGTCAGAAACCTAACGTTCAAAACAGTACTTTCTCCCTCATTTAGGCTTCTGAACCTAAACTGGGTGCTGACCTGGAACTCTGACTCGGTTTGTAGAGCAGCCTGTGACCAGGGAAGGTGTCTGTTCTCTTCCCACTTTCCTTCAGAATAAATGATATTCTCTCTGTGCCTCGGTTTCTCCCACTTGATACCCATGGGCCTCTGAGCAGCCTGTTCTCTCTCCCTCCTTACCAGGACCTCTGAGGAGGGCGACATGTTTGTAGGAGGGTTTCCCTGTGTTTTTGGGGGGGCCATCGGTTGAGTGATACCTAGCCTGGTGTTCTTGGAAGTTACTCTCCTGAACCTGAAGGAAACCTCCGGGCTTCTGGCTCCACTTAAGCAAAACCACCTACAAGAGGAACCCTCTGGAGTCGGTGACAGGGCTGACCTGTCCAAGCGCGCTCTCAAGATAGAGGGCTGTCAGCCCAGGGGTGCTCTCGAATCACAGGGATGTATCTTTAAACTATCAGAGTCCTGTCTCCTCCATATCTGATGTAGAGGCGGAACGTTGGATGTTTTTTAACTGCTCTCTCGGTGCAGGTAACATGTATTGGGGACCAACTACCCCTGTGTCAGAGGGTCTTCGCCATAAGGAGCAGTAACAGCCCTTGAACATCCACTGCCGGCCTCCCTCCCCGACCCCCCGCCACAGGAAGGTGAAGATCAGAAGGGGTGTTTGCTGCTTCTGGGCACCCCTGTCACTTTCCTTAACTGGTTCCAAGACACTGCTATCATCCCAGATGGTGGGGTAAAGCCGCATCCCCACCCCCACCCCCCACCCCCCACCCCACGCAGAGCCCGGTGCTGCTCAACCTTGGAGGGCAGATAGGTATCTTCGGAAGGCAGGTCGATTGTGTTTTAGAGGACAATCCAGAGCTGTCTTTGCAATTTGTTCAAATGAAGACTTATTTTTTTGTTTAGCTCGAGGGAGTCTCACCTGGGTTACGCCCACCAGCTCCCAGGCATCACCTCCCCTCCCCACCGTAGCTGGAGAGTCTGCCTCAGCTACAAGAGGCAAGGCCAGACACCAGTTGAAAATCCCAGACAGCTTCCTCCCCTCCCTCCACATCTTGTCAGATATTTCAAGCTTTGAGTCCTTATTCGTGCTCTGCCTACTTGGCTGGCTGTTCTTGCACTTGAGCGGCTTGTTTGCCTGGACAGGTCCAAGCTGTCTGAGCCATCAGCAGCTGCACCTCCTCCCTCGTGCCTTCTGTCGGAGCCAACCTTGATTCACAGTAGTGCAGATGGCCCGGCCTTCTCCAGCAACGCCCGCCACTCCCAGCCCTCTCGTGCCCTGCTTTCCCAGAGATGAAGGGGCTGGGCCAGGCCTGGCCTGCAGGTCAACCTGGGGCTAGCAGGGAGACCACTGTCAGTTCATGCTTTGGCATATTAACCCAGACAACACACTAAAAAAAACTTTTTTTTTTTTAAAATCTGAACCACATCGGATAGGGACATATCAATGTCTAAGTTCAGATAATGCAGGAAACACTTTGCAGCCTGCAGCAGAGCTAATCTGTTTTTGCAAATAGCCCTGGTTCTGGCTTCCTCACTCTGCTTGCTAACTGTTACTGAGAGCTGAGAGAGAACCAGAGACAAGGGCAGGTGTCAGATATTAGCGTTCCCTCCTTCCCTCCCCTTCTCTCACTTTAAGGCAGACAGGGCAACTTCTCTACTGTGCCTTGCTTTCTCAGACGGGCTCCAGGTGCCAAAAGGCGGTGCCTTGCAACATACCACTGTCAGCAGTTCATTTCCTTTTTCCTTGTCCCTCTCCAAGAGAAATAAAGTGGCAGGTGACCAATGTGAGCAGAGTCGGGGGTGACCTTGGACATAAGAAAGGCATGCATACCAGGGCTTGGGCGTCACTGCCTTCCTGCCGAGTTGTGGACGCGGCGCAGGAATGGGGGTCCTGTCTGGCAGGCTGGGCCTGGGTGAGACCCACAGCCATGCTTTCTGGCAGCAGCCTGCAGCAGGGTGGGCTGCTGGGGCCACAGGCTCCTCGCCCACTTGTGTGGCTTGGGACGAAGTGCAGATACACTGGCTCGTTCGGGTGGTCTGTAAACCTAAGGGGCACTAGCACCTGCTGGGATGCCATTGCTCCAGCAATACAGCATTCACAGGATTTACCGTGCGACTCAGCCGCCACTCACATCATTTCCAAGCATGCTCCTCCATTGGAGAGACTGGCCCAGGTGAAAGTGGCTTCAGCACAGCCCCCAAAGCCAGCCCTTTCATGAGGGAACATCAGGACTGAGATATATTATCCACTCTCCCTACAACTTGGAGTACTTTCCTAAGGACTGGGTATTTTTAATCCTTGATAATGCTACAGTATCTTTATTGGCACCCAAGGACCAGTAAAGGAAATCAGTCCTGAATAATCATTGGAAGGGCTGAAGCTGAAACTCCAGTACTTTGGCCACCTGATACAAAGAACTGACTCTTTGGAAAACACCCTGATGTTAGGAAAGATAGAAGGCAGGATGAGATCGTTTGATGGCATCACCGACTCGATGGACATGAGTTTGAGTAAGCTCTGGGAGTTGGTGATGGACAGGGAAGCCTGGCATGCTGCAGTCCACGGGGTCGCAAAGAGTCAAACACAACTGAGCAACTCAACTGAAGGACCAGTAACACAGAGACAGGCAGAGGCTGCCTGAAGAGGTATCTGCTTCTCTCCCCACCATCAGAGCCAGTCATTTGGCGAGCACGCTTATGCCCTAGTAAGCATGATACAGTGGATGGGGTGGAATTAGGGGCCTTTGATAGTGAAAGACAGGGAGGCCTGGCATGCTGCAGTTCATGGAGTTGCAGAGTCGGACATGACTTAGCGACTAAATAACAGTTCCACTCCTAAGATCACGGTTGGGGTCTATTCTCTTCTATATTTGATAAGGAAAGAAGGGAGATCTTTTACCTTTTACCAATACCTGGGAACCTTTTTATTTCTCTAAAGCCACAGGATAAGTATCACCAAACTGCTGGATTTCCTATTCTTCAAGACTGGCCCTGTCCTCCAGGGCTTCTGTCTTAGCACTGGGTGTTGCCTTCTCTTCCTGCTACAATTGCTGCTTGGCCTATTAGCCTCAGGAAACTTATTCTCTTGGATCCATTCTCTTTAAGAGTCGCCACATTTTATCCACCTGCCTGCTTTCGTTTTTGATCCACGCATTGTCATCATTTAGAACCGCTGGTCTAAGTGACCCAGAGGCACAATCCAAGCTCTTGAGATGGGTGTCTCCAGGGTCTGAAATTGACAGTATTTGTCTTAACCCTTAAAGTAATCTTGCTGTAGCCAAAAACCTTAGCCAGCAAACACCTCAGCAGATGCACTGCCCTCCACCCCACCCCACCGCCCTGGTGACGCAGGAGAACCACCCTGGAGCCGCGGGGCGCAGTGTCTAGAGGGCAGCAGAGCTCCGGTGGGTACTGCCATCCCCTGGCTGCCAAGCCCCTTGTCATGTAACAGGTTCAGAGGCTTGGAGGTTAGTGTGGGGAGGTTCTGTCCTCCAAACTCACCGTGGCACTGCCTGTAAGCCTGCCGAGCCAGGGCCCGAGAGGGCTGCCTGCACGGCCCACATCATCCGGGGTCTGCTTGATGCCCTGATGTCCCGGGCCTGCGGGGGCTGCATAAGTTCGGCTGCGAGCTGCCCACTAGATGGTCCCTGCTGCCTCAGCACAAGGCGACCCTCTCAGGCTCCATGCGTGGCATTCAGTACAGGTGTAGGCATGAGAGATGGCACCCTTCTCTATGGGGACAGGTAGGGAAGAGATCTCCCAGCTGAGTCTTCCTGGGTCTCTGTTCCAGTGAAGAAGAGACACCCTCCCCTCCCCCACTCTGCGCACCTGATTCCGCCTCCGTCCATTTCCCAGCCGCAGCTCAACTCTTTACTCTCGTGGTATTCTGTAAGCTGGAGTGATAAGGCCCGAACCTCCAGAAGGGAGATGAAATGACCTTGTGAGGCTGACAGGTAACAGCACAGCCAGCATTGGTTTCGGGGTGTTGATTTCCACGTATTAAGGTTTGAGTTGCTACTGAGCTCCCTCGCCCGTGTGTGTGACAGTCAGGCTCTGTATCCACCGCGATGCCCGAGCAGGGACACGGTGTGGGGCGAGAGCTTTGCTGCTGTGCTCTGGCACCTGAGCACGTTTCCGTCTCCAGCATGGAGCTGCCAGTAGGAAACTGCTGAAGTGGCACTCTGGAGGATCCACCAGGGAGACCCCTCCATCTCCTGCCAAGCTAAACAAACCCTGCCTTGCCCTGTTCTGAATCACACCTCCCTGCAGATTCATTCCTCCTTCCCCAGCGCGGCTCGGGCACCGCCTTCCGGGAAAGTCCTGGGTGTCCGCAAGAGAGGCGTTGGAGGAGAACGGAACTGATGGAGGAAGGGGGAGTGCCACTCAGTCATCTTTTAAGTAGAAAGGAAAAGGTCAACGGAGCCGCACGGGGCCACGGCCACATCAGTGTTGACTCTGCCTCGCTGCGGCAAAGGGGCCGGCTCACCGGGGCAAGCGGTGGGCACTGCCAACCCCACCCAGCTGCTGACAGCCAAGCACAAAGAAACGCATGCTCTGTACACACAGATGGGTCTGAGTGTCAGCAGGAGCCTGTTTTTAGCCCTTGCCCAGGAAGGGCAGCCCACAACACAGTAATTTAATTAAATTTGCTTCTCTCCATGGCCCACATATTTGAAGAGGTTTGGGGGGAAATGAATCTGGCTGAGGAGCATCACCCTGCCGCTCTGGCACTGCCCCAGAGCCGAGCCACAGCACCATAAAGGGTCTCGCCATCCTGATTACGGCCCAGGGCATCTGTCTGCACTGCAGGCTCTCTGGCCGGGCTGCCTGCTGGAAGCAGTCCGTCTCCATCACAGGGAAGCCACCGGGGGCAAAATAAGGGGACTCCCCGTCCCTGACTCAAGACCTGCTGGCAGCATCCTCAGCAGTAGTACCTAGAGCCGTTTGTGGCATTAGCTTTCCCTACCAGCCTCAGAGTACAAGAAGAG